ACGTGATGCCAGACTACAAAGATGCAGTCTGGAGGCTCAGCAAGGTATCTCATCTTTTAGACAATCCTGGGACGAATGAACGACTGGAGGCGACGTGCTTCTCGTCTTCACCAGTGTTCAAAGCCCTATTCGAACCCCTCAAAAGATTCAAATGTCATTGTCACGTCGAACGCTGGGGTACAGTTGCCAACACTCTGCTGAACATCACTGGCAACGTCGAGACTGGATTCCGGCATGGATGGGACGCTGCCAAATACACGCACGGCAAGAATAAATCAAGTGAGCAAGATTTCAACTTGACGGTGCAAACTCTGGATGACACAATCAAGTCGCCCTTCTGGTGGGCCTATTTGAGCACGCTTGAGAAACTTGCGCAGGCGTTGTTCAATGTCCTCAGATGGTGTTAATCGTGTTCTTATTATTTTGATTTACTCGAAAGCCTGCGCAACCCTGGGACGGCCCCCGACATTTGGTCATGGACGAAGAAGGAGGTCAAAGAACTACAAGAATGTGCTTCGAAGCGCCCGCTGAGAGGCATGCGGTGCCACGACATATGTGCAGGCATGCTGCTCGACTTGGCGAAGAGCCGCCTGCGCTACCACATCGCAGATTTCACCAGCAACATCCCATCATATGTTTCGAACGAGGACTCGAAACGCATCATCGAGCAGATGGAGTGTGGCAGGGCCCACATTGTCGCATATTACACGATCGATATGGCACACTGTGATTCGGCTGCGTACGGCCCGTTTGGAATGGCATGCGGTAATTATCAGAAGGCTCGAGAGTGTTGGAGCAGAGTTCAAGTCGACCCTGACTCTCACCCTATTGCTCATGAGTTGGTCCACGGCGGTGGCGAGGCTCTCAGACGGGAGGTGGACGAATGGGCAGAAGTGGGCTTCGACCCTGAGCAAGACAATCCAGAGGAGGACAAGCCTGAGCTTCGCCAGTGGCTGGCGACTCTGCGCTTTGCGAGCAGCGCAAAGAGAGAGAGAGAGAAAGAGAGAGAGAGTGGTTGAGGGCACCCATGCTCAGACACATCATGAAGTAACAAGGGCCCGGAATCTCAGCAATGCCTCGGTCAGCTTGGCTAACAGGGTGCCCGACCTCAGCGCTTACATCACCGCGAAAATGGAGACCTTCTGGCAATTTACGCAAGACGTTGCTCAAGTCTCTCCAGGCAAGAAAGCTTGGGGGCTCGAGGGCCATCCAGAGATGGAGAAGTTTGCAATGATGCATCCATCTGACAAGCTATTCTGCGAGGTTATCTACAACGCCGACCCCTGCACCAAGTACAGGATGCCACTGCCTAAGATCAGTATCAAGCAAGCTGAGGGTGGAGTCTGCTTGCAAGAGGGCCGCCTTCGTGAGCCTCGTGGTCGATGCGGTCTCTGCCGACGGCACTGTGTATTGCATGCCCATGCAGCTCAACGCGCTCGCCCCCTTGCGGAAGCTCCTCCAAGCACGCCCTTCAATACCTCAAGACGTTCCAGAATATGGCGAAGCTGAGATTGGATTTAGAGCCCCTGGGGTAAAGGCTCGTTGGCCCGATGACGGTCATCCTAATGATGCATTCGGGGAGCCAGACTGTGGATTCTCAGAGTACTTCTTCTCCACGGTGGTCATGTCGGACATCGCTCGTATTCCAAGGCCGAAGATACCAGGCCAACCCAAACTCACTGGTGTAAAGACATTGGACATTGGTTTTGCACAAACTTTTGTCATTTAACGAAGCAGCTGGTGGATGCGTGGTGAGTGCGAATGCGATTGGTAACAACATTGACGACTGCGCTACACCATACACCGTTCACCCAGCCATGCTGTCTGTCACCAGAAACTTTGTCGAAAATACATCGATGGACCTCCACATCCAATCAACGCATGGTGCGTATCCGCGAACCTCACAAGTCGCAAATTCCTGAAGAGCAGACCGCCATTGCCACGTTCCCTTTGAGGCATCCGGGCGGCGTGCAGCACGAAGACCTGGCGCCGCCAGAGCGCTTGAGCGTGCACGTCGGGAGCTCGTGGACACGCTCCTCAGACTGGGTCTCGTGGTCGGCCCACCGTGCAAGTTCACGGCAGCGGGGAAGGCAGCTACAGAGATCGGCATCCCACAGGGGAACCCACAGTGCATGCTGCAACGCTTCGACGAGAGGGCGGGCTCGGGCATCAACCAGGCCACCCTCGCACAGCTGATCCTCAAGATGGAGCGCGACGGCTGGGCGCGCGACGACTTGTCGACTTCAAGGAGTGCATTGGGCCAGAAACATGGCTGGCCAACAATCCGCTCGCGTGGGCGATTCAGGGGAGATCCAGGGGCCGCGAATTTTCAACGACGTTCGATTGTCCAGTCTGGGATTCTGGCCGTCTTGGGGAGGGGGAGACGGGGTAAAATCAAATGGAGATCCAACCAGGCCATGTTTCTGCCCAACAACCCCGGGGAGAGAAAGACAGCCGTGGAGAATCCACATGCAGCTGGGGCTGGCAAGAAATGGTATTCATTCAAGGGGTACTCAGTAAGCAGGTACTACTTGCTGACGCTGCTGAAGGCCAACGCGCCGATGTCGGGCATCGACGAGGTCCCGCATTTCGCGACTATCACAACGTGCATGGTGATCCTGGGCACGCAGCCTCCTGGCAAGAAGCCAACGCCGGTGATCGGCAAAGTGGACTGGCCAGAAGACAGCCTCCCGCCAGCTCCCAAGAATTTGGGGCCACACGCGAACCCTACCCCTACCCCCCACGGTTTCTGAGGGGGAGGGTGGGGTTCACTTCGCTCGGGAGCTCCCAAACGAAATGAACCCCACCCTCCCTCTCAGAAATCGTGGGAGGTAGGGGTAGGGTTCGCTTGTGGCCCCCTAAAGAAGGCGAAAACCACCGAGGGCGTGAAGCTCGACGGAGCTCGTCGGAAGCAGCGAAGGCCCCAGCGGGCCCGGCGGGCGGCGATGGCCACGTGGACGTCGGGCCCGAGATGGAGGGCAAGGGCGACGCGACGGAGACGGAGGTGGAGGAGTCGTCATCGTCAAGCCTATCTTCTTCGAGCTCGTCTTCTTCTTCTTCAACGTCAACCTCGCCTTCAATTTCTAGCTCGGACGGCTCCTCCGCCGTCGTGGTCAGCGATGGCACCGACGACGACGAGGGCGACTTCAGGTACCACGAGGACGAGAATGGCCACAAGTACTTTCGGCACATCAGCTTGCACAGGTACTTCCACAAGGTGTCAGGCGCCTTCAACGGCTGGAGCGCCTCATTGCCACAGGCGCGGCCACTCGGTTGGCAGGGGCAAGTGCACGAAGACCCAGACGGTGCACTCGGACGGAGGGTCTGAGGGCGCGCGGCGGAGGCTGCACTGGTGGGGGGGGCACCTCGGCGGCACGGTCCACAGCAAGGCGGCCCACGAGGACAGGTGGGCGAAGGTGATCACAGACTGGGGCGCCGACAGCACCCCAGGGCTCGCGGTTCTGGAGGTCGACGCGAGCCAGGAGTTCTAGCACGTGACACATGCACACATATACGCGCACGCTCAACACCCCCCGCCCTTTCTCTCCTTCTCCACCTTTACTCTCGCCAACTCCTCTTCTCGCACGTCCACCTCGACCCACTTTCCCCCCCCCCCAACCGTGCCCAGGTGGGCGCGCTCGCGCCGGCTGGAGGAGTGCGCAACCCGCCCGTCACGATGATGAGAAGAAGGATGATGAGGACGAGGCGGGAGGATGTGGATGCGGAGGAGGATGAGGGAGAGACTGCTCCCCCCCGGTTACGAGGAGGAGTAAGGGAGGATGGGGGACGAGGAGAAGCTTCTGCAGCGTCCCGGAAGGGGGCGAATGCGGACGACAGGGATGAGGGCGATGAGGACAAAGAATGCAGGTTTGGGAGCCATCGCGTGGGAGTCTCTCGAGGCCGAAGGGCCCCCGGCCCCCCTCCTCTTGGAGCCTCTTGGGGAGAGCCCCGCAACGGCGCCCGGCGCCCTCCACTGGAACCGTCTCAGAGCCATCATGGTTGGGAGCCTCCTGGTGTTTCCTTCGGGCCTCTTGGGGCTGCCTGGGCCACATCCGATCTTCGATCTTCCTTGACAGTCCTAGCGGAGATCCAAAAGGGCACCCGCTGCCCTTCCCGCCCGCCACGGCGAGGACTTTCGACCAGCTGGTGCTGCTGCTGGTCTTCCACGAGGCGGGGCGTCGCCGCCGTTGCCCTTGCGCCCTTCTCGCACGCTCTGTGACGTCAGTGGCCCTAGGATGCTCTCAGATGTCTGAACCGAGCGAGAGGTGACGATCGGCGTGGAATCTGTACACAAACACAGAAAATACATCAAAATGGCTGGAAACACTGTAATTCATCAAAAACTATCAACGCAGTAACCCCTAAGCCTCGGGAGACTCGGGGAAACCCGGGGAAATTCGGAGCTATAAAAAAACCCGGCTGGGAGAGGCACTGCGGCCCCCCAATCTTTTCACATTTTAGTTTTGGGGCCCAATCGGGCTCAGATCGGGTTTTAAAATCACGAGGTTCAAATCAACATCCATGGGAAAGCCGCCCAAAAACTGCAACATCCCCTGGGCTCATTTTAGCTCCGAGTTCGCATTCAGGGAAACTCGAAAACATGTTTCACATCATTGGCGCCGATGTTTGAGCACGCAGAGCTAGCCTTCGACACTGTAGCTCATCACAGATACTGCAACTCGGAGCGACGTCCCTGCTTTATCGCGGGCCGAAAACCCCCCCACCCAAGTGGTGGTCTCGCAGCCGACGGGCTCGGATGAGGCCCCAACCCGAGACCCGCGACCTCCGACGCGTGGAGAGACCGAGGGGATCAAAAGGAGTGGTTACTGGGATCGGTGCCACATTCTAGCTTGATTCACAACGTGCTTGCTCGAAACTACACTCTCCAAATTTCGGCTACCAGGGAAAACACTCTTAGAGGCCAAAAACATAATACACACCATCATATCTGAAACTGGCGGAGGGGGGAGGAGGAGGACAGGGCCGCTCGGACTCATTTTCGCTCGGACTCTTGTTCGCCCGAAGGGCTCCCGAAGGCGTGCGGGTGAACAACGCAGCTGCTCCAGATGTTGTCTCCACTGCGGCCGTCGGTGTCGCCCTCGTGGTACCAGCAACTCGAAATGCTGTCTCCGCTGCGCCAGTCGGTGCAGCCGTCGTGGTATTGTCTACATCATCAGCTGCTCCACCCAGTCCTGAAGCTCGCGCTCCATGTGAGTCGCTGGTGCACGGCTGAACTTGCGCTTCGCGGAGGTGGTCTTGAGGGCTGCCGTCAAGTAGTTCCTGAACTGGTGGTCGCACACGGAGAGCGTCAGTCGCTTCTTCTCCTTCTCGTACATGCGGTCGACCATGCAGAAGAGCACCAGCTCGCACTTCTGCTCGTTGTCGTAGCTGTCGTAGTCCGCGTGCATCTGGTTCACGTGGCGCTTGAGTTGATCTTCGAGTGGTAGCTCCTTGACTGCCGATAGTAATCCGCCCATCGCGTATATCTGAAGTGGCCCCGGGTCGTGATTGTTGCCCTTCTCTTTTGTGAGCTTGCCGCATGCCGCCGTCGGCTCCTGGAAAATACTAAAACATCACGTTCCGAACGAACTAACGCTATTCAGACGTACCAAGCGCTAAACAACAGAAGCGTGCCTGAACGCGCATGACACTGGTCTAACATGTCAATAAATAGCGGCGGAGCTGGGCGCAGACACACTAATGAGGAATAAGATGAAGAGACGAGGCGGACGAGGACAGGATAGCGAGAGCCAGTAGGAGGGAGGGGAGGAGAAGAAAAAAAGGAGGGATGGGGTGAACAAGTCCCCTGGATCCCAACAGACTCAGACAGCCCAAGAAAGAGCGTGGCTCCGTGAGCTAGAGGACAAGCTTGAGAAGAGGAGCGGCTCTTGCGCTCACCCATCTTCCATCCCATCCTCCTCCTTTGCCAGTTTTGGCTCCAGAGCTCCAGGGGATTCAGGCCCTGCTGCACCTCGTCGCGCTGCGAGCGCAGAGTTCAGCCTGATAGTCGTGCGCCCCTGAATGTCCAGGCAGCCTCAGAGGAGGAGGGCGGCCGCACGTTTGTGCGACGATGACTTCGCCAGGTTGGAGACTAAGCAATTCTACCACGCGCGCAGGCTCACAGGTTCAAGGGTTCAGCGCCCCCAGGCCCAACGACCTTGAGCGAGTTTTCGCTCTGGCCTGAATGGCATTGGCAGGCGGTCGCGCAACGATTCGGCGGCGCCCGCTCCATTCAACCTCTGGTCAACGCTGCTTGGGCACGGCGCCGTCAACGCCGGCCACTACTCAAGCTGCGAGATGCCGCGGGAGCTGCGCTGGCAACACTGCGCAGGGCTACGCCGCGCCTTCCCGGACGAGCCCTGGGTGCACCACGTTGCGTTTGACTTCGAGAGGTCGCGCGACAATGGGTGCTTGGCCCAACGGACACTGCTGTGGATCGCGTCGAATCTACATGGTGGGAGTTCATGCGTCTTTGGCGACATCGAGGATGCATTGCCGCTCCTGGGCGAGGATCTCTTAGATATGATGATGCCCACCGCTGTCGAGGATGACGCGGCGCTGGCAAAGCGGCAAGCTGCGAAGCGCTACGCTGACATGCTTGACGGCTGCCACGGAAGAGGGGGTGGCTATGGCAGAAAGGCTCCACAACGCCCTGCCTTTGCCACAACCAGGACTGCCCGACGAACCCTCAGACGGCGGCGCATGATGAGTTGAAGCTACGGGCGAATTGGGCAGGTAATACTTGCGTTTGTTGGAGTCCTGTATCTGATAGCACAATGAAGCAGTTCTCCCACCCGTCGGAGCGAGTGAACAGTCTGGATTGCCCAGAGCAGAGGGTCAGATTCGCAGAGCTCGGCGAGGAGGACTGCTTGCTTCTTCCAGGAGCACTCTCATCGGCGCAGGAGAAGCTCGCCGGCCCAATGGAGAAAAGGATCAAGGTTAGCTGGGTCCAATGGGGGGCCCCTCAACAAAGAGAACCGCGCCACCGCCCACGTGTATTATCATCTGGGTGCTGCCGTGCTCGGCGGATGTGGATCGGCCCAGAGCGCCGCGAAGATGCGCGGAGAGAGTTCGAGGACATCTTCGGCGCCAGAGTCGTCAGCAACGGCTCGATGCACACGTGCGCCAATCCTGAATGCCTGAGGAAGACCACAGCGAATGACTTCGCACCGCGTCGCATTCACATTGGCAAATTGGATGATGTTCCGATCCACGGGGATGAGATGTTCGAGACGTTGCGTCATGGTAACCGGCAGAGGTATGCCGCGTATGATACTATCCACGAGGTCCCGGGTATTGAGGCCAAGTAAAGCGACCGGCGCGCTGACCCCCCCCCCTTCGCGACAGGAGGTGCGTCGCGCATTCGTCGCCCGTGCGCCGCCCGTGCGTCGATGGCCAGCCGTCCTCTCGAACGTGCGCGTCGCCCTCGCAAGGGGGCAATCTGGTGAGTGCGTCGCCAGCGCGGCGGACGCCCGCGGGGCGGATCGCACGCGCGTCGCCCTCTCCACGGCCGCTGAAAAGGCCGGTCGCCTCCTGGAAACAGAAAGTCGCCCACGCTGCGGCCCTCTTGGCGAGAAGGAGGCGGCCGCTGGGCGACCTCGGCAGATCAGCAAATCCCCTCACATTACAAATGCAGCGACGCTGCTGAACGCAGCCCGGCGATAGGCCAGCAGGTCCCCGCAGCCGCCGCCACAACCGCCGCAACCGCCGCCAGCACAAAACTACCGCCGCCACGATCACCACAAACGGATGCGAGCGCAACCACATCCACCGCGACGATAACGACCAACACCAATTACCGCCATCACCACCACCACGACCACCACGCTTCTCGCGACCGCCACAACGACCGACACCAGCACTATCACCGACGTGACCACCGCCAGCCCGCCCACCACCAGCGGCACGACCGCCGCCGACGCGACCGAGGCGACGAACGCGACCACGACCATGATCACCAACATGACCATTGCAGAAGCACCCGCCCACTCCGTCCTCCCCCCCTCCCCCCCATTCCCCTGCCGGGCCGCCCTTGCCGCCGCGCCCGCCTCGCGCCCCTGCCCCTCCCCCCTCCTGTTCTCCTCGTAATCTTCCTCTTCCACCGCCGGCGGCGGGGCCGTTAGCGGAGGGCGGGGGCGCCGCTCGCGGCGACGCGCCGCGGCCGTGGAAGGGGGGCCGAAGGAGAACAGAAAATGAAGAGGGGCACGGGGTGGCAAGGGGAAAAAACAAAGACGAGAGAACAGGGGGGAGGGACAGACAGAGGGTGGCCGGAAGAATGGAGGAGGAGAAGGGGGGGGAGAGAGGGAGACGAGGCAGGAGAGAGGACGGAGGAGGAGGAATGACAAAAGAGGAGGGACGACGACGAAGAAAAAGGAAACTAACAGGGGCAAGCACCGCCCTTCCTGGCGCAATGGAGGACGCAGCCGCCGCCGCTTGTGAACAGCGCAAGCACGGCGGGCCGACGGCCGTTGCGCATTGCTGCTCGGAGACATGCTAGGGGCGGGCAAAGTCGCGACTGCGTCGCGCATGCGTCGCGCGTGCGTCGCGCGTGCGTCGCGCGTGCGTCGCGCGTGCGTCGCGCGTGCGTCGCGCGCGTGGCGCGCGCGTCGCGCGTGCGTCGCGCGGGTCGATCGTGCGTCGCGCGCTGGCAAAGGTGCGTCGCGCGCGGGTCGGGGTGCGTCGCGCGCGCGTCGCGCGCGCGTCGCGCGTGCGTCGCGCGGGCGTCGCTCGGGCCGTTCGCGCGTCGCGCGCAGGTCGCGCGCGAATCGCTCGAAGGGCGCCGCGGGCTCCTGACGGCATGTGAACTGCACGGCCCGCTGGCGAAACAATCAAGGGATGCGCGCGGCAATCGTAGAAATAGCGAGACACACACGTGAGAACTACGAACGCGAGGAGACCAATAGACGACATGGAGATGCAGCGCGCGCGGACTAATCCATTTCAAGCGCACGCCCCGTCAGATTTTGAACATCGGTCCGTCGCTGCAGCAATTTGGCGACGTCTCGCCCGCCGATGCATTGGGGGGGGGGGGGGGGGAAAGAAGGCGGAAGTGAGGCGAGGGAAGGGCGGGCGGAAATGGGAACGGACGGGCGAGGAGGGGGCGCGCGGGGGCGGCGCAGCGGCGGCGGGAGCGATGGAAGGCGATCGAAGGGGGGCGGCGGGGGCGAGGAGGGCGAGAAGAAGTTCCAGGAGAGTGGAAGGACAACGGGGGGTGAGTAGGGAGGCGGACAGGACGGCAGCCTGACACAAAAGAACTGAATACAAATTTCGCAAACGGGACAAAACGCGCAGCGCGTTGGACGAAGGGGAAAAGAAAGGAAGAGGGGGGGGGGGGCAGGAGGATTGGCGCGAAACGACATGGGGGCGCGGGGCGCGATGCGACGGGGCGAAAAGGCGCCGCGTCGCGCGACGCGACGTCGCCCCCGCCGTGGCGCGACGCGCACAGCCCCCAATCAACGCGAGGCGTCTTCGTCCTCAGCAACGGCTGGCGCCCCCGACAATGAGCACCAGCAAATCCTCTTGCGCCGAATTGGGAACAGAACGCGTTGGTGGACCGTCGAACTAAGAGTGCGCCGCGACCGCCAAAATGGCTGCTGGTGCACCGGCGTCGGAAACCTATATATCGCCAGAGAAATTCCGAAGTCGCGCCATATGTCGCCCACGCACCCTGGGAGGCCGGGATTCGGGACAGAGACGCAAACCAAGGCCGGCGCACGGGCGACGCTCGGGCGACGCACTGAACGAAACTTAAAGGGGGGGGTGGTCGCTTCACTGGGCCTTAACAGTCCCGGGTGATGACCACGTTTTCCTCGCGGACCTGGGCCACTGGCCGAACGCGCGGTCCACTCACGGGAAGGAGTTCCCATGCCAGCCCAAGCATGGATGCGTCTGGTCCTGGGAGCTACAACGTGCCGCGGTCGGTTTGGGGCATCTTGCAGCCCAGGGGTTGCCCGTTCTTCGTGCAATGCAGGGGCGTCACCGTAGCTCCCCATGCAACCAGATTTCGAGAACTTGAGCGAGTGTTGCATCGAAGAGTTTTCATGCAACGGGATGTGAATCTCCGCGTTGGCTGCATGGGTCGTCTACTGTTTCAGCAATGCAGTGAGGGTCGAAGGGTCTAAATTGTTCGAAGAGGGCGCGCTGGCCAGGCTGACCACATCCACCGCCTCGACCACATGCGTCGAGGATTCTCAGCCCGCAGCCGCCGCGGGCCCACCTGCCCCAGATCAGTCAGATGCTGCTGGCGACGAGGAGGGCGATCGGTAGAACTGTCCAATGGTTGAGGAAGAAAGAAGACGGCGCTGACATGCTGATCCCAATCGAAACTGATAGAATTGTTCGGTGTTCGGACGTGTGCCAACACAGCTTCTGACACTGCGGATTCAACTGTGGATCGCCCAGGGCCCCAAGATATATTCTGATAGATGGGCCGCAGACGAGGGCGGGAAAGATAATGGGGGAGGGCAAAGGGATCATCATCCTGCGGCGCGTTCTCCTTAGCGTCGCCCCCCTCGCCCCCATCATCCTCTTCCCCGTCTCAGTTACCCGGGTTAACCCCTCTCGAAAGCAGCCGCAGCCCGACGGAGGATGAACAACGGCGCCGCGAACAAGCTTCATTCTTAGCGTTCTGTCGCAGAGGAGGAGGGGGGCATCCTAAATAATACCA